GAAAAATGATATTCCAAGTATAAATACAGTAAAGTACACACACTTAGACACTTTTAGACACAATTGTGAAATTGGCAATTCAAGGAGTTGGTCTGATGGGTGCACTCTGATGTCATCGGCCTCCTCCCTAGCTTGAGGAACAATAGAGGAGAAAATGAATTACTATGGAGACAGAGGCTGGAGTGGGTCTTTAAGGGTAGGATCGGGGGCGGGGAAGGGGTACCTAAGGCAGGGGTTCCCCAATTTTGTCCCGCGACCACATTTTGAGTTATAAAAAAAATTGCGACCTCTGTTTATTACAACTGACATAATCTCGGTTCTGTGAACCAAGCACATTTTTTTATTTTTTATTTCAGAGTTCCTCTCGCAACCCCATTTTCAAGGCAACCCCTAATTTGGAAAACACTGACCTATTTCACCCCAAAACAGATGGAACAGGGGCCTCTATTTTTCTTAACCTTGTGTGTGACCAGTATGTCACACAGGTCTCTCACCTCACAAAATAAGTTAGTTAACCAGCTATGTTCTGAGCTGGTGCTCCTTCTGGTATAACTGAATGATTGACTGAAGGAATCGCTAAGTGAGAGCATAGGAGAAAAGTGAGTGGCGTTTCTATTCTATTCTATTCTAGGTAGCATTGGCATGGTATTTTTGGTATTTTATTAGGATCCCCATTAGCTGTTGCAAAAGGACTAAGGACACAAATGCCATTGAATAGAGTGCAAAAATAAACTATTCCCTAATTATTATTAGAAGAGCAGGTTTTTTTTCTCTTAGGCCCATTTGGCACTTCAGGCTTCAGCAGGTGTCAGACACTTTGATTGACGGCTGCGAGCGTGACGTCATATCGGGGGGCGCAGTGGTGGAGTTTTTTTTTTTTTTAGAAGAGGTAATACAACGCTCGGTGTGAGAAGTAGCCTATAGGCCGGCTTACCGAAAGAAGAAGAGCGCAGAGGAACACTCAATCATTCATGGTGCAGCTTTTGTCCGTCTTTGCTTACTGGCTGTGTAGACTACTGGAACAGATCGGAAAGAGTGGTAGCCTAGCCTGTTCTTCAAAATACATTATTTACGTTGCAGCGGATTGCTAGGTAGGCTAATATAACCACAATCACGGATACGGGTACAGTCCCGCTGGCTGATTCATTAACAAAAATGAATCAAATATGTTATGTTTTGCTTTATTTTTGACAGTCAAATAGACTGCCAAAAACACGCATTCTTTTTTTGTGTGAAAGGTTGCTATGTTCACCGCGGCATATGTTATTATGGTAAGTGCTCTCGTTGTGTTGTGATATCTTGTGCCTTTGTAGTTTTCACAATGGATGGGCCGATAGATGTAAAGATAACGCTAAACTTGCTGAGCAATAGGCTACTCACTGGCCCATGTGCATCAGATGTTTTCATGACTAGTTTTACTGAATCTTCTTTTTTTATCTTTAGGGGTTTTGAATGTTTTTGTTGCGATAGGGTCGTTACAATGTAGCCACAACCACACACAAAGGCAGACGCAGATCGGTGCATTGTGCTACAGTAGCCTAGACTATCACTGAGAAAATGTATGCATTTTTTAAATGGACCGTAATATTATAATAAGGCTATAATAATAAAATAAAAAATAGAACATGGAATAACAACCGGCAACTGAACATTTCCCCACAATTTCTCTCATACTAGTGTTTCTTTCACACAGGTTACAATAACGACTACTTCTACTGCTTATGGATCTACAGGCTATTTACAACTGGCTAATAAACATTCGAATGCCTCAATCATCTATGTTTTTCAGGCATTATACATGTTACATAACGCCAGAAGTATGAAATAAAGGTCAGCGCGCACAGCAGGCGTCACATCCATCACCCTATACGTCATTTATAAAGTTAGCCAATACCCTCTATACCTTCCAGTAGATCCAGTGTCAATATCCTCGTTTCCATAGAGGGAAAAATAGCATAGAACAATAAAGAACATATAGCATAAAACTTGCATAGAACAAGAGCATATTAATTGTGTCTTTTTACTGAAAGATCACTATTATTATGTGGTAAAAGACTGAAGTCTACATTTGTGATAGTAGGCTATGGCAAAGCGGCATTCTTCAGCGCATTTGCTAGGTTGGAACTGAGTAGCTATATACTTAAATGTCCAATTGGAGCACATTCATTTCATAAATATCTGGGCCTCAAATGTCAACTGATTTAACACAATAACAGATGTTTGGCCTATGACATATTGTACCCCAGTAGTTATCTTATAGTCCTAGTTATCATTATATCATATCTAGCTATTAATTCATTTGAATATACAAAATATTTATATTAAAATAGACTTTCTGGTGATGTCTAGATTATTCTCCCACTAGGCTATGCAGCATATGCTATATCTGTTCCTTGCAGCTATTACATTAGATCCACAGGTAACAATAAAATGACACCAAGTAGGAGTAATGTGGCAAAATTAACAGAGTGTGAATGGGAGACAACGTTTTATCACCAGTTCATATTGAAATGTGGCACATAATATCTTCTTTGCATTTCATGTGTAACTTGATTTATCTCGCCCCTCGTCACAGAAACAGCAGGTATGTGATGGTGGCCAATAGCTGTGTCCAGTCCAGAGGGAGTCAAGCTACAGCTCCACAGGCACGAGGCGGCCGGCTGGTAGATTACTGAGGGATTACACGGACACTCATTAACTCAATGCCACAAAACCGAGACTGAGTGGGGAGTCTGGGAACATTCGACCAGGGAGGGACTGAATGGTCGGGGCGGCCGACTGACTGACAGACTGCTACGGGAAGAGCAGGATCCTCTACAATCTCTGTGAATGTAACTCAACTCATTTCTCCAGCGGGACTTGAGCTCCGCTAGGATCGGAGACCAGTCTGCCTCTGCCGTCCATCTATCTGTAGCAGGCACAGACGGTGGGGTGTTGCTATGACAACACTTGCCCTGCACCATGGTGTAGAGTTGTCTCGTTACTTGCTCCACTGAATCTGATATGAGGTAGATGGAGCTACTGTATACCTATTTATTTACACTTCGTTCAAGAGTGATACACTCAAAATTCTATGGAGCTCATTCCAGGAAAAGTGTAATTGCAATCAAACCCATGCATATTCAAGTTTCGCCACATGCACAGGATACAACAGGTGTAAAACAGTACAGTGAAATTCTTACCTTGAGAGCTCTTTCCCAACAATGCAGTGATAATAATAATAATAATATACAGTACCAGTCAAAAGTTTGGACACACCTACTCATTCAAAGGTTTTTCTTTATTTTTACTATTTTCTACATTGTAGAATAATAGTGAAGACATCAAACCTATGAAATAACACATATGGAATCATGTAGTAACCAAAAAAGTGTTAAACAAATCAAAATATATTTTATATTTGAGATTCTTCAAATAGCCACCCTTTGCCTTGATGACACCTTTGCACACTCTTGGCATTCTCTCAACCAGCTTCACCTGGAATGCTTTTCCAACAGTCTTGAATGAGTTCCCACATATGCTGAGCACTTGTTGGCTGCTTCTCCTTCACTCTGCCGTCCGACTCATCCCAAACCCTCTCAATTGGGTTGAGGTCGGGGGATTGTGGAGGCCAGGTCATCTGATGCAGCACTCCATCACTCTACTTCTTGGTAAAATAGCCATTACACAGCCTGGAGGTGTGTTGGGTCATTGTACTGTTGAAAACAAATGATAGTCCCACTAAGCCCAAACCCAGATGGGATGGTGTATCGCTGCAGAATGCTGTGGTAGCCATGCTGGTTAAGTGTGCCTTGAATTCTAAGTAAATCACAGACAGTGTCACCAGCAAAGCACCCCCACACCATAACACCTCCTCCTCCGTGCTTTACGGTGGGAACTACACATGCGGAGATCATCCGTTCACCCACACCGCGTCTCACAAAGACACGGCGGTTGGAACCAAAAATCTCAAATTTTGACTCCAGACCAAAGGACACATTTCCACCGGTCTAATGTCCATTGCTCGTGTTTCTTGGCCCAAGCAGGTATCTTCTTATTATTGGTGTCCTTTAGTAGTGGTATCTTTGCAACAATTTGACCATGAAGGCCTGATTCACACAGTCCCATCTGAACAGTTGATGTTGAGATGTGTCTGTGACTTGAACTCTGTGAATCATTTATTTGGGCTGCAATTTCTGAGGCTGGTAAGTCTAATGAACTTATCTCTGCAGCAGAGGTAACTCTTGGTCATCCATTCCTGTGGCGGTCCTCATGAGAGCCAATTTCATCATTGCGCTTGATGGTTTTTGCGACTGCACTTGAAGAAACTTTCAAAGTCCTTGACATTTTACATATTGACTGACCTTCATGTCTTAAAGTAATGGACTGTCGTTTCTCTTTGCTTATTTGAGCTGTTCTTGCCATAATATGGATTTGGTCTTTTACCAAATAGGGCTATCTTCTGTATACCCCACTACCTTGTCACAACACAACAGATTGTCTCAAACACATTAAGAAGGAAAGAAATTCCACAAATTAATTTTTAAGAAGGCACACCTGTTAATTGAAATGCATTCCAGGTGACTACCTCATAAGCTGGTTGAGAGAATGCCAAGAGTGTGCAAAGCTGTCATCAAAGCAAAGGGTGGCAATTTTTAACACTTTTTGGGTTACTACATGATTCCATATGTGTTATTTCATAGTTTTGATGTCTTCACTATTATTTTACAATGTAGAAAATAGTAAAAATAAAGAAAAACCCTTGAATGAGTAAGTGTGTCCAAACTTTTTACTGGTAGTCTAGATAATAATAGAAAATAGAATACAACATTCATATTGATCTATTATCTGTGCTATTACATAAATACATTTCAATATAAAGTCATGACCATTTTACGGATTATTTACCTACAGTATGTGTATGTTTGATTCCAGTCCTTTTATTTGCTTTGTTATCAAATCATGAATGATCCTTTCTGATTTCTAGACCTCATCATGCAATAACCAGTGTCAGCTGAGCCATGGCAAAACAGGACTCCCCACTGTTCCTCCACGGCTTTGACCTGGGGGGACACTTCATAGACCCCCGGCCCCTGGGCAGCGGGGCCACTGGTCTGGTTCTGTCCGCTGTGGACAAGCGCAGCGGACAGCGGGTGGCTGTGAAGAAGCTGGTGATGCGTGACGCGGTCAGCGTGAAGCATGCCTTGCGGGAGGTCAAGATCACACGACGTCTGCAGCATGAGAACGTGGTGCGCGTGCACGAGGTTCTGGGCCCTTACGGCCACCCGCTGCCTCGCGACCCGGCCCAGCTGAGTGCCCTGTACATCGTCCAGGAGTGCATGGAGACGGACCTAGCTCAGCTGCTAGAGCAGGGACCACTTCCTGGTGGGCACGCCATTTTGCTCTTCTACCAGCTCCTACGAGGCCTCAAGTTCATCCACTCAGCAAATGTGCTGCACCGCGACCTCAAACCAGCCAACGTGTTCCTCAACACAGACCAGCTACTGCTCAAGATCGGAGACTTTGGCCTTGCCCGAATCGTCGACCCACACTACTCCCATAAGGTGAGACTACAGTGGGCTGCCATTAGAAGGGAATAGCTAGCCCGGGGTCTGTATTCATAAAGCTTCATAAAGCCTCTCAGACTAGGGCTGATTTAGGATCAGGTCCCCCCTGTCCATGTCATCTTATTCATTATTACCTGAAAGCAAAACTGATCCTAGTCCAGCACTCCTAATCCAAGACGCTTCATGAATCAGGGCCCAGGGGTTTTTCCTAACCATGTGACCTGAGCAGAAAAGGCTCCTGGCCTCTAGTCCTAGGGAAAAGCTCCTCGCCCTACATGTAAGTGGAAGACATAAAAGATGAGGATACCACTGGCTGGTTTAAGACAGCAGGATGTCTGCACTGAGAGAAGGATGAGTGGCGCAGTGGTCTAAGGCACTGCATCGCAGTGCTAACTGTGCCACTAGAGATCCTGGTTCGAATCCAGGCTCTGTTGCAGCCGGCCGCGACCGGGAGACTCATGGGCGGCGCACAATTGGCCCAGCGTCGTCCAGGGTAGGGGAGGGAATGGCCGGCAGGGATGTAGCTCAGTTGATAGAGCATGGCGTTTGCAATGCCAGGGTTGTGGGTTCAATTCCCTCGGGGGGCCAGTATAAAAAAAATATGTATTCACTAACTGTAAGTCGCTCTGGATAAGAGCGTCTGCTAAATGACTAAAATGTAAATGTAAATGTTCTGTATTAAGATGGGAGTTCACAGCTTGTCTACTGTAAGATTGCTTTAAGGACTAGTGCAGTGTCCTTTCATAAAAAATAATTATAATTACAGTGGGGCTTGTGTGTGAGTGACAAAGCCAGGCTCTGATGGCGAGCAAAATACTGTATCTAGAAAATATTGTAATTCACTGTCAGGTCTGTTATAGCCAGTGCTGCTGGAGTTGAGCCTCTTCTTTCCTTTTTCATTGCACTTCAAAGACCGATTTTAGAAATCAAACAATAAGGTTTCCTTGCTCAGTTTGTTTGTATTTGCAGTTGTGGCACACATCTCAAAAGCAGAAACTGCTGTGAGGCTGAAACCTGAGCAAAATTAGCATTACCTTTACGTTTCACAACAAACGTACTTAATACCCAAACGATACAGCATTCACCCATATTAAGATGCCTCTTTGAGCGTGTTTTTGTGTGGTCGTGGTGCATGTATGAACATATCCTTGCACCAAGTCTGTTGGCTCCTGTAGACTGATGATTATCTCCTTTGAATTGTTGGAAATTAGTGCATTAGCATTCGTCTATAGCTAGTGCTAAAGCAGAGCTTTCATAACCTTGTCCAAACATGTCCTGTTAAGTTACAAATTAATAATATTATAATTGGCGGGTGCTTATATGTATCCTATTTATCCATGTACAAGTGTGTGTTATACAAATGTGTGAATTGGAAATATATATATTTTTGCATATCCCACTCCCCCTAGAGTGGGTTCACAGCCAGTGTCAGCCATTATCAACGGCAACCCTGGGGCAATTAGGGTTAAGTGCCTTTCTCAAGGGCACATCAACAGATTTTTTACCTTGTTGGCTGGGGGATTCAAACTAGTGACCTTTCAGTTGCTTGCCCAACGCTCTTAACCACTAGGCTACCTGCTGCCCCAAGTTGAACGATTACCCTGTCCGTTTTTTGTTTTTTTTGTGGATTAGGCTCTGAGAGATTAATCTGACAGTCGACTTCTCTGCTGTGCTGCTTTATTGTTGTGGTGGAACACAGTGTGTAGCACCAGAAGGCCCAGTGAAGGGGAGCATTGTCCTGGCCGGGCCCAGGCCCAGAGATCTGAGCACGGGGCAGCAGGGTGCAGACAGGGAAAAGAGATGAATCAGGCTGTGAGCAGGACAGGAATAACAGACTGGCCAAGAGTGTAGCCAGAATAACAATGGGGAATGCTGTGTTCTGGGATGGTGAAATCAAACAAAAAGCTTCTCTGCTGCTCTTATGCAGTGGAGTGTGAGACGGGCCAGCTACAGAGCATTCTGTGTCTCGCCCCCGTCTGGCCCCGGCCTCCCGGAACCTCACTCATCATCAGAGTATGTGTGTATGGCATCTGGGTGCCATGTGTCAGAGGAACGTTGGCGGGAGCTGAGTTTTACTTCAGACCTCAAAGCCTACGTCAGGTTTTATGCCCTTTCAATATGGACGTTGAAGTAAAATAATTTACCCGGGGCCATTCCTTTTAGGAACCAGGAAAATGCCTGTTAGATTCTCTCCCTCTTACATTCAGCCTGCCCTCTCTCCCTCATGACAGAACAACGTCTATTCACACAGCTACTCCTCAGTCCAGACAGCCCTGTACAGAGTGTGTACCTAGCTACTGTACTGAATGTTTAGTACTAAACTCCTCTAACAGGCCTGTGTTGATTCAGAGAGGAGAGAAATACAGAGTGTGTCCGAAATGGAACCATATTCCCTTTATAGTGCACTAGTGCTGCACCACTATTCCCTAGTGCACTACTTTTGACTAGAGATTATATGGCTCTGGTCAAATGTAGTGCACTATATAGGGAATTCGATGCCATTTCAGACACAATTATAGTGTCTACCAGAAAGCTCTGGTTCTCCACATGCCACGCCATGCCACGCCAGCCGTGAGGGAGGCTGGGATGGTTCTTGCTTGGCAGTGAGGTGGAGTAGGAGAAAATGCTTGATAGTGCCACGATCAAGAGAACGTTTAATCCAAAAATAGACTTGCAAAGAACAGCAGACACAACGATGACAAGACGACAGGAATTTGTCATCAGCCTCAAATCTAGAGAGGTATTTGACAGGTGACACATCCAATTGAATTGCTCATATCATTTGAAGTCACTTGTGGGCTTGTCTCACAAGTGAAAGTAAGCCTGTCAGTCTGTGGCAGAGGGTTGGCAATAAGCATTACAACTGTTGTCATCAGCCCTCCTGATCTCTCATCAATGGAAATGTACAGTGGCTTGCGAAAGTATTCACCCCTCTTGGCATTTTTCCTATTTTGTTACCTTACAACCTGGAATTAAAATGGATTTTGGGGGGGTTTGTGTCATTTGATTTATACAACATGCCTACCACTTTGAAGAAGCCACTGCTCCAAAACCACCATAAAAAAGCCAGACTACGGTTTGCAACTGCACATGGGGACAAAGATCGTACTTTTTGGAGAAATGTCCTCTGGTCTGATGAAACAAAAATAGAACTGTTTGGCCATAATGACCATCGTTATGTTTGGAGGAAAAAGGGAGCTTCTTGCAAGCCGAAGAACACCATCCCCACCGTGAAGCACAGGGGTGGCAGCATCATGCTATGGGGGTGCTTTGCTGCAGGAGGGACTGGTGCACTTCACAAATTAGATGGCATCATGAGGAACGAAAGTTATGTTGATATATTGAAGCAACATCTCAAGACGTCAGTCAGGAAGTTAAAGCATGGTCGCAAATGGTTCTTCCAAATGGACAATGACCCCAAGCATACTTCCAAAGTTGTGGCAAAATGGCTTAAGGACAACAAAGGCAAGTTATTGGAGTGGCCATCACAAAGCCCTGACCTCAATCCTATAGAAAATTTGTGGGCAGAACTGAAAAAGCGTGGAGGCCTACAAACCTGACTCAGTTACACCAGCTCTGTCAGGAGGAATGGGCCAAAATTCACCCAACTTATTGTGGGAAGCTTGTGGAAGGCTATTTGGCTAAGGTGTATGTAAACTTCCAACTTCAACTGTATACTGAGATCATGTGACAGATCATGTGACATTTAGATTGCACACAGGTGGACTTTATTTAACTAATTATGTGACTTCTGAAGGTAGTTGGTTGTACCAGATCTTATTTAGGGGCTTCATAGCAAAGTGGGTGAATAAATATGCACGCACCACTTTTCCGTTATTTATTTTCATTTCACTTCAACAATTTGGACTATGTCCATTACATTACAGGTTGTAATGCAACAAAACAGGAAAAACGCCAAGGGGGATGAATACTTTTGCAAGGCACTGTACCATTCTTTTGCCAGTGTTGGCATTATGACAGAAGCTTTGATTGAAGTGCTAAAGACACCTAATAACGCCTCCTTACTGTCTAAAGACTCAATAAAAAATATAGACATTAGATACGTCCTAAATGGCATCGTATTCCCCTTATAAGTGCTCTATTTCTGACCAGAACCCGATGGGCCCTTGTCAAAAGCAGTGCACTATAAAGGGAACACAGTGCCATTTGGGATGCAACCATGCAGCTGTCATTGTAAATCTGACTCAGCCTTTGGAATCATCAGTGACTGACTAAACTGTGCTTTTGGATGATAAGCAGAGATTTGACAGATTGCTTAATCAGAGGAGGCCCATCTGAATCTCTACCTGCTGAGCCAACCCTGTCAAACTCCACAAATTATTAATCACCTGGAGAGTCACGGAGAGGGGGAGCGGGACGGGGGAAAAGGAGGGAGGTAGGGGTGAAATGAAGGAGTTGGGGAGAGGGTAGGAGGTGAGAAAGGTGAGAAGGAAGGAAGGAAGGAGGGAGGGAGGGTGAGGGAGAGAGGGAGGGATGGGTGAAATGAAGGAGAGTTGGGGAGAGGGGGATGTAGGGACGCTTTAAGGCTGTCTCAGCTGCTTCTCATCAAACATTGAACAGTGCTCCGTCACACATTGAACAGTGCTCCGTCACACATTGAACAGTGCTCCGTCACACATTGAACAGTGCTCTGTCATACATTGAACAGTGCTCCGTCACACATTGAACAGTGCTCCGTCACACATTGAACAGTGCTCCGTCACACATTGAACAGTGCTCCGTCACACATTGAACAGTGCTCCGTCACACATTGAACAGTGCTCCGTCACACATTGAACAGTGCTCCGTCACACATTGAACAGTGCTCCGTCATCCATTGGCAGAGAGTGGAGGGGAAGGACAGAGAGGACAGGTCAATGCTTGCCTTGCACTGGGGTTGTGCAGGTTGTGACATGCATTAAATGCATTCAATTCAAGAGCCTGCAGAGGTCGCTTGCTGTGAATGTATTGTCACAAACCAGAGTGGCTGTGTTTTCATAATCTCTCGCTGTCTCTTGATAGGTGTGTGTGTGTGTGTGTGTGTGTGTGTGTATGTGTGTGTGTGTTTGTGTGTATGTGTATGTATGTTATAAATTAAAAAGTCAAAGGGAGCTGCTCTAACGAGATGAAACCAGTATGTCGCTAGGCAGAACAGCGTTAGAGGACCACATCAAAGGAGGAAGGAGCAGTAATTGGATAATAAATGATGACAGAAAAGGCTTTTTCTCTGACCTTCTCTTCCACCATACTTAGATATATTTATAGAACCATTGTAGCTGACCTGAAAAAGTATACTGTCGTCTATACACTCTTAGAAAAAAGGGTTCCAAAAGGGTTCTTTGCGGAGGAATAGGGTTCTACCAAGAACTGTTTTGATCAGAAGAACCCTTTTTGGAAGACAAGGGTTCTTTGTAAGTCAAAGGGTTCTACCTAGAACCTTTAACATCCTAAGAACCGTTTTTGGAAGAAAGGGTTCTTTGATGATTCTTTGGAAGGCAAGAAGGGTTCTACATAGAACCATATCTAATATTTCCCAGCATGCTCTATTGCAGGGAGATTTTCAGAATTGTTTGTTTTACTGTAATATCTGTGTTTTTGCATGTACATTGATTGGTTGATGAATGTTATGCTACACAAAGTAACAAATCCAATCTGTTAGTAATTGGATTTAATACACCTGTTACTGAGATGGTTGTTCCAGTTTAGATGATTGAGGTAGTCTCAATATTCAATCTTCCCTACCCTGGCAGTCATTCTGAATGCAAGTGGTGGGTGATTACCAATTCCAGTGTTGGATATCCTAACTCCAATAGGAATTACACATCACCAATTCGTAAGTCGCTCTGGATAAGAGTGTCTGCTAAATGATGTAAATGTAAAATGTAAATGTTCTACCCAGCACCAAAAAGGGTTCCCCTATGGGGACAAACCGAAGAACCCTGTATGGTTCTACCTAGCACCTTTTTGTCTAAGAGTGTACCTGTAATGAGTGAGTGTGAAGAGTTGGTGGAAAGCTGTACAAAAGCCATCAAGACACCTTAGAGAATGAGCCATCAAGACACCTTAGCGAATGAGCCATCAAGACACCTTAGAGAATGAGCCTTCAAGACACCTTAGAGAATGAGCCATCAAGACACTTTAGAGAATGAGCCATCAAGACACCTTAGAGAATGAGCCATCAAGACACCTTAGAGAATGAGCCATCAAGACACCTTAGCGAATGAGCCATCAAGACACCTTAGAGAATGAGCCATCAAGACACCTTAGCGAATGAGCCATCAAGACAAAATAGTACAAGCACAACATCACTATTAATCATAAAACACATCAAGTTTATTTGAAAATTCTAAAGAAAAAGAACACACAAACACACAATGCCTCAGTGATTAACAGAACTGTTTCACAGATCACAGAACTATATCAGGGTGTCATTTCTCAGGCAGAAATGTAGATAAAAATAATGAAATCCTGTTCCCCAAACAAGTGCAAGAACCACAGAGTCAAGAATAGGTTAAATATACAAATAAAATAAAATCAATTAAAAACAATAGCACATCAACATAAAAACATATAAACATAAAGCTGGAGCCTGAGGACAGTGTCCAAAAGCACAACATCACTATTAATCATAAAACACCTCAAGTTATTTGAAAGTTCTAAGGACAAAGAACACACAAACACACAATGCCTCAGTGATTAACAGAACTGTTTCACAGATCACAGAACTATATCAGGGTGTCATTTCTCAGGCAGAAATGTAGATACAAATAATGAAATCCTGTTCCCCAAACAAGTGCAAGAACCACAGAGTCAAGAATAGGTTAAATATACAAATAAAATAAAATCAATTAAAAACAATAGTACATCAACATAAAAACATATAAACATAAAGCTGGAGCCTGAGGACAGTGTCCAAAAGCACAACATCACTATTAATCATAAAACACCTCAAGTTATTTGAAAGTTCTGAGGACAAAGAACACACAAACACACAATGCCTCAGTGATTGACAGAACTGTTTCACAGATCACAGAACTATATCAGGGTGTCATTTCTCAGGCAGAAATGTAGATAAAAATAATGAAATCCTGTTCCCCAAACAAGTGCAAGAACCACAGAGTCAAGAATAGGTTAAATATACAAATAAAATAAAATCAATTAAAAACAATAGCACATCAACATAAAAACATATAAACATAAAGCTGGAGCCTGAGGACAGTGTCCAAAAGCACAACATCACTATTAATCATAAAACACCTCAAGTTATTTGAAAGTTCTGAGGACAAAGAACACACAAACACACAATGCTTCAGTGATTCACAGAAGTATATCACAGATCACAGAACTATATCAGGGTGTCATTTCTCAGGCAGAAATGTAGATACAAATAATGAAATCCTGTTCCCCAAACAAGTGCAAGAACCACAGAGTCAATAATAGGTTAAATATACAAATAAAATAAAAACAATTAAAAACAATAGCACATCAACATAAAAACATATAAACATAAATCTGAAAGCGTTGCTCAAACTCCCGTAACAGTCCCGTTATTTTATCTTTGAACCGCTTCATGTCTGCCACATGTTGGGTCGCGCACACATTTTTCAGACAGGGGAAGTGAGCTGCATCACCACCGGCAAGTTGCGTCTCCCACAATGACAGCTTCAACTTGAAAGAACGTATGCTGTCATAATCCTGCGTGACAACTTTGTTGCGCCCTTGCAGCTGTTTGTTCAAGTTATTCAGGTGCTCTGTAACATCCACCATAAATGCAAGGTCCTGCATCCATTCTGCGGAATGAAATTCTAACACTGGTTTGCCCTTTTCTTCCATGAACTGTTCAATTTCTTCTCGTAAATCAAAGAAACGCCTCAGCACAGCACCTCGGCTTAACCATCTTACCTCAGTGTGGTATGGCAGGCCATAGATGTGGTCTTTCTCTCTGAGAAGGCTGTCAAACTGACGGTGATTCAGGCTTCTGGATCGGATGAAATTAACAGTTTGGATGACCACCTTCATGACGTTATCCATCTTTAATGACTTGCAACACAAAGCCTCCTGGTGCAAAATACAGTGAAAAGTCAAAAAATCACGTCCTCCATTTGCAGATTGCACTTTCTCTCTGAACTTTGTCACAACGCCTGCTTTTTTCCCGATCAATGAGGGCGCACCATCTGTAGCCAGGCTGACAGCGCGGGACCAGTCCACTCCGACCCTGTCCAGCGCGCCGACGAGTGCGGTAAAAATATCAGCTGCTGTCGTTGTATCTGTCATCGGCACCAACTCCACGAACTCCTCGGTGACGGTCAATGTGTCATCAACTCCGCGGATGAAAATGGCCAGTTGTGCAACATCTGTAATGTCCGTGCTTTCATCAATTGCAACCGAAAACACAATAAATGACTTTACTTTTTGCTTCAACTGGCTGTCCAAATCCACTGAAAGATCGGAAATCCTGTCTGCAACTGTGTTTCTTGTCAGGCTGATATTTGCAAAAGCCTGCCGCTTTTCAGGGCACACAATCTCCGCTGCCTTCATCATGCATGTTTTTACAAATTCACCCTCACTAAATGGTTTTGAAGCCACTGCGATTTCATTAGCAATGAGGTAGCTAGCTTTCACTGCAGCGTCACTGATGTCTCGGCTGTGAGTAAACACAGACTGCTGTTTCTTCAGACCCGCCAACAGTTCATTCACCTTCTCTCATCTCCGCTGTCCTTGAAAGTTGTCATATTTGTCGGCATGAAGACTCACATAGTGGCGACGAAGGTTATATTCTTTCAGCACTGCAACATGCTCTGAACACACCAAACATACAGCTTTCCCATTCAATTCCGTGAATAAATAGGATGACCATTTTTCTTGGAACACTCTGCACTCTGCATCCACTTTTCTCTTTTTTGACAGAGACATATTGGGGCAATGAGGGTGCCAAAGCACATAATGTTAAAAGTAGAAGCCGTAATAAATATCGCGGGCAAAACAAAGTAGCTCATTGGCTGCACGTGCTTGACCTACTTGCTCTGCCCCGGTATAAACAGTTTGCTTGCTTAACACAATTGCTATTGCGCCATCCAGTGGACGCAATTGGAACAGCAGTTTATTTTATTGAAAAATTGCAGCGCATTTTTATACTTTACAAAATTATTATTAAATTTTTATTTATTTTTTTCAAAATCATCTCGCGGGCCGGATTAAACCCGTTTGCGGGCCTGATCCGGCCCGCGGTCCGGACGTTTGACACCCCTGCCTTAGAGAATGAGCCATCAAGACACCTTAGAGAATGAGCCATCAAGACGCCTTAGACAATGAGCCATCAAGACACTTTAGAGAATGAGCCATCAAGACACCTTAGCGAATGAGCCAGGAAAATGTACATAGGTGTTCATTTCCTTGTCATGCTTACTTACCCTGTGTGTGCTGTTGTCTGTGTGTATTGGCCAGGGCTACCTGTCCGAGGGCTTGGTGACCAAATGGTACCGGTCTCCGCGCCTGCTGCTCTCCCCTAACAACTACACCAAGGCCATCGATATGTGGGCAGCTGGCTGCATCCTCGCAGAGATGCTAACAGGACGCATGCTCTTTGCAGGTAGGAGTCTGTTGAGGTGGAGAGGTGTGGATATGAATAGGATATGAGTCATATGGATTGAATGATTCATGATTCGGATAAACTGAGGGTATTGCCCGTTAGTTTTTATGCTGTTGGGCAGTACAGTCTTTTTTGTCTAACCAGTTGGTAGAGCATGGCGCTTGCAACGCCAGGGTTGTGGGTTCGATTCCCACGGGGGGCCAGTATGAACATTTTTTATGCACTAACTAACTGTAAGTCGCTCTGGATAAGAGCGTCTGCTAAATGATGTAAATGTAAATGTTTTAAGTTTTTTGCATAATACAGAAATTGCCATTTGCCTGTCTGTCTGTTCTCTATCCGACCACAGCTCAATAAGAGTAGTTGTTAAAAAAGCTAAATGATCCAAGACATGGGCTGTTTCCCAAATGGACCTCTATTCCCTATATAGTGCCCTACATTTGACCAGAGCCCATTGGCAGAGGGGGACAGGGAACACAGTGCAACGGAAATATTCAGACCCCTGACTTTTTCCAACTTTTAAACAGCCTTATTCTAAAATTGATTAAATACCCCCCCCCCCCCCCCCCCCCCCCCACCCCCCCCCCCCCCCCCCCCCCCCCCCCCCCCTTATCAATCTACACATAATACCCCATAATGACAAAGCAAAAACAGGTTTTTAAAATGTTTGCAAATGCATAAAATAAAAAAAATCGGAAATATCACATTTACTCAGTACTTTGTTGAAGCACCTTTGGCAGAGATTACAGCCTCGAGTCTTCTTGGGTATGACGCTACAAGCTTGGCACAACTGTATTTGGGGAGTTTCTCCCATTCTTCTCTGCAGATCTTATCAAGCTCTGTCAGGTTGGATGGGGAGCGTCGCTGCACAGCTATTTTCAGGTCTCTCCAGAGATGTTAGATCGGTTGAAGTCCGGGCTCTGGCTGGGCCACTCAAGGACATTCAGGGACTTGTCCCGAAGCCACTCCTGCGTTGTCTTGGCTGTGTGCTTAGGGTCATTGTCCTGTTGGAAGGTGAACCTTCACCCCAGTCTGAGGTGCTGAGTGCTCTGAAGCAGGTTTTCTTCAAGGATCTCTCTGTACTTTGCTCCGTTCATCTTTCCCTCGATCCTGACTAGTCTCCCAGTCCCTGCCGCTGAAAAACATCCCCACAGCATGATGCTGCAACCAACATTCTTCACCGTAGGGATGGTGCCAGGTTTCCTCCAGACTTGACTCTTGGCATTCAGGCCAAATAGAAAACAAATATTTAATCAATTTTAGAATAAGGCTTTAACGTAACAAAATGTGGAAAAAGGGAAGGGGTCTGAATACTTTCCGAATGCACTGTATATAGGGGATAGTGTACCATTTGGTACGTAGCCATTTGGTACGTATACATGATATGATATATTATTGTCTCGCTGTGACAGTGTTGTTATAGCTCCCCCTGCTGTTATAATTACACTGGCTGAAATCGTGAGAAAAAAATATATAATTTGGAGACTTAAACAGAAGCAAAACAGAACAAAAATATAGCTGCAAGCAGCCATGGTGGGGTTCAAGCCCTATAACACCACAGTGCCACCATCAGGACAAATAAGTCTAATTTCCCTAGGATTAGCTACTTCTGTACTCCTTATTATGCTTGCCAAATATCAGAACTCAAACTCAAACACATTATGCGTTTGTTGGATATTGGACCATTTTGATGATGTTCACTAGGCTTTGTGTCATTCTCTAATAATAATTTGGTCATGTGACACATGCTTTTATCCAGACCTACTTACTGTAGACACATATTTCGTGTGTGGTCCCATCTGTAAATTCAACTTATGACCTTGTCACTAGCCTGCTCGTTAGTCATGAGAGTGTACAACTTTTATTTTCCCAGTAGCCTGCTCCAACCATCTTAATACCCGTCTTTAAAAAGTCACTACTTCTAGTACTACGTTATCCTCAAACTTTCAACACTAGCCTTTAACAATTTGAACTTCTGAACTTCTTCCACAAGGCACATCATTTTTCTTCAGGAAAATGACTTTTTCTAGTTTTAGAATCATGATGCTTCTTTACTTCCTGGTTCCTCCTGGCTTCCTGCCTGGTTCCTCCTTGCTTCCTGCCTGGTTCCTCCTCGCTGCTCTCTATGCAGGAGCCCATGAGCTGGAGCAGATGCAGCTGATCCTGTACACGGTGCCTGTGTTGAGGGAAGAGGACCATCACGACCTCCGGCAGGTCATGCCCTCCTACGTCAGCCATGGTTGGAGGGTCAGGAGGTCCTTCAGAGAGCTACTACCTGAAGCGGATGCAGACGGTGAGAGGGATGGGGGGAAGGGAGAGCAGTGAAAACTTTTAATGCCTTCTATACTATACCTCCCTGAAAGGATAACTGGTTTCTGTTAAAATTTGTAGTCACTAAAAATAACAAGCACGTGTCTAACTAATGTATTGTCTTAAGTTCATAAAATGTCTTATATTCATAAAATATCGATTTCCTGATGCTCTATGACCTTACTTGCAGCCAGGTACTGTATATGCCCACATCATTTGAAAGCCTTTTATTTTCTCCGTTCCTGTCTCTTTCTCCACTAGCCATAGACTTCCTGGAGCGTATCCTGACCTTTAACCCCATGGACCGGCTGACGGCAGAGGCGGCCCTGTCCCATCCCTTCCTGCAGCAGTACTCGTGTCCCCAGGACGAGCCCATGTCACCCCAGCCCTTCCGCATAGAGGACGAGCTAGATGATAGCCTGGTCACGGAGCCCGGCCACAGCCACAGCCACAGCCACAGCCACAGCCACAGCCACAGCCACAGCCACAGCCACAGCCACAGCCACAGCCACAGCCACAGCCAGGCCTCCAGTTCTCACTGGGACAGGTGTGTGTCTAGCCTGGTCCCATATCTGTTTGTGCTATCATGTCAACTAGTGACAAGGAGTTGACATGATAGGAAAAACTAACTTGGGACCAGGCTAGTGTGTGTCAGCCAGTGGAGGCTGCTGAGGGGAGAACGGCTCATAATAATGGCCTGAAGGGAGCAAATGGAATGGCATCAAACACCTGGAAACCATGTGTTTGAGGTATTTGATACCATTCCACTGATTCCGCTCCAGCCGTTACCACGAGCCCGTCCTCCCCAATTAAGGTGCCACCAACCTCCTGTGGTGTCAGCCACAGAGATACATCTATATTGTACTATGCCATTCATTTCATTTCTATTGAATTCTATGGTGTCAGCTACATTTCACACACAGACACACAGCAGCAGCCACATTGAGGGGGAACAGCACAGTAACACCATGCAAACGGAAAGAGATATCAATATCTGAACTGTGACATGCTGTACACAACAGATACACCACACTTTGAAAGTAAAAGCATCAAGAAAGAAAGAAACCCCACAATGAGCCCTAGGGAATAAGCACTTGATGAAACGTTTTTTAAAGAAACGTTTCCACTGGGCACACTGGTTGAATCAATGTTGTTTCCACATCATTTCAATTAAATTACGTTGAATCAATGTGGAAAAGACGTTGAATTGACGTCTGTGCCCATTGGCTTATGTGTGTTTGTGTGTGCGTGTGTGTGAGAGAGAGTGAGAGAGAGAGAGAGTTTAAAGATAACACCAATATGGTCTTCACCACAGTAGACTGACATGGCAATGTCGATGTTTCGTTGACAAGCTCTTTGTTTTCCACTGTGCAGGAATGAGACCAGCCTGTCGTCAGACCTGTACTGGCAGCAGCAGGGTGGGTGTCAGTGCATGCCTGGGGTCTCAGAGGTGGCCGACTCCAAAGAGGAGGAGGTCCAGAGAGATCCCAGGGCAGGTTCCTACCCTCTGTTGGAGGAGGCCCAGGTGGACCCTCGCAAGTATTCCCACAGCAGCTCTGCCGAGCGCTTCCTGGACCACTCCCACTCCTCTCTGGTGCGGGCCTGTGGGGGCGGGGCTTATGCTGAGCTGGACTGTGGCCACTCCTGTGACTACAAAGTGGGCTCCCCTTCCCATCTGGATAAGGTTCCGTGGAGGGACGGCAAGCCGCAGCACTACTCCGAGCCCAAGCTGATCCTGGACCTGTCTCACTGGAAGAGGAATAGCCAGCTCCCTGTGCCTGAGGGGCCTGAGCGTGGAGGGACCAGCGTGGAGGAGCTGCCTGTCGAGGAGCCACCTTGGGACCTATTCCAGGAGATCTCTCGCTGGGTGGAGAGCACACAGTCTCGCCTGTCCTCCGCCAGCCCACCCCAGGAACCCCTGTCCTCCGCCAGCCCACCCCAGGAACCCCTGTCCTCCGCCAGCCCACCCCAGGAACCCCTGTCCTCCGCCAGCCCACCCCAGGAACCCCTGTCCTCTGCCAGCCCACCCCAGGAAACCCTGTCCTCAGGCAGCCCACCCCAGGAACCCCTGTCCTCCGCCAGCCCACCCCAGGAACCGCTGTCCTCCACCAGCCCACCCCAGGAACCCCTGTCCTACCCCAGCTCACCCCAGGAACCCCTGTCCTACCCCAGCCCACCACAGGAACCCCTGTCGTACCCCAGCTCACCCCAGGAACCCCTGTCCTACCCCAGCCCACCCCAGGAACCCCTGTCGTACCCCAGCCCACCCAAGAAACCCCTGTCCTACCACAGCTCACCCCCGCTGCCCCCATTTCCCACCTCCCTCCCTGCCCCACTCTTTCCCAGCTGTTCGCCGGTCGTACAGCCGTCACCTGGACTGGACAAGGACCACACACTCAGCCCGCCTGCCACGTCCCACTCCCCTGCCTCCCTGTTGCCCATTTCTCCCTTGTCTCCTCCCGTTCCTTCATCGATTCATGAGCCCCCACAGACTCTTCCCTCCAGGGGGCAAAGGGGACCGTTTGACCTAGATGTGTTCATCTCTCGAGCGCTGAAGCTGTGTGGTCAGAGTGAGGACCTGGGGGGAAGCACGGACGGGGCCAAACGGGCCAACATCAAGAGGGTACCTAGACTCCCGGAGCACCGGCCACCCCCACCTCAGACTCCCAACTCCTAATAGGACCTAGGTCCAAGGCTACCACAGAGGGTGCTGGTAGACCGTGGGAGCTGTGTTTAAGGCTACCCCAGAAAGCACTGGGAGACCGTGGGAGCTGCGTTTAAGGCTACCCCAGAAAGCACTGGTAGACTGTGGGAGCTGCGTTTAAGGCTACCCCAGAAAGCACTGGTAGACTGTGGGAGCTGCGTTTAAGGCTACCCCAGAATGCACTGGTAGACTGTGGGAGCTGCGTTTAAGGCTACCCCAGAAAGCACTGGTAGACTGTGGGAGCTGCGTTTAAGGCTACCCCAGAAAGCACTGGTAGACTGTGGGAGCTGCGTTTAAGGCTATCCCAGAAAGCACTGGTAGACTGTGGGAGCTTCGTTTAAGGCTACCCCAGAAAGCACTGGTAGACTGTGGGAGCTGCTTTTAAGGCTATCCCAGAAAGCACTGGTAGACTGTGGGAGCTTCGTTTAAGGCTAGCACAGAAAGCATTGGTAGACTGTGAGAGCTGCCTTGTGAAAAGCATGAGTTGACACACGCCCAAAGTAATAGGCGAGGTATTGACTAACAGAATAGTAAACGTATGGAGAAACACTCTATATACTGTATGCTCCCAATGATTTAATGTGTAAAATAGTTTTTTTTATCCATTAAATCAATGCGGCGTGCAACTTTTCGTAAGTTGCCTTGACACTGACCCTTCTCACTTAAACAAGTGGTGCTGGTCGTTCGGATCAGAGCTGCTTTTACTGCATGTTAGGAGGTGAGGAGAGAAAAGTGAGGATCAAGATCCATTAGCTACAAACTACATAATGAGCTTCCGGTGGTTTTGTCATTTAGGTCACTGCAGTAAATTAATGTACAGTACGTTTTACAGTATCTAACGCGAAGGTTATGTAGTAAGCCTACAGTATGATGCATGAAAGCAGCAACTGTACTCATTACAAGAATGCCTGCAAATGATCAACAGTTAGGTGGAGAGAGGAAATTCCAGGTATTGCATAGCAGAATAGCTTAAAGAGAATGCAGCCAGCTATATTTGGTTATAATTTTGTTGACTCTTTCAGACACAACCCTTTTGTTTGTTTGGATATCTTCTGGATGTGAGTAGCTATAGGTCTTCCTGCAGCAAATACTTAAGAAGAATGAAATGAATATCTTCCATTGAGTGGGAAGTATCTCCTATCAGGAGTTTGAATGTATTTATAGATACACATCTTAGCATAAGAACAGTTAGCTCTCGTCCAGGGCATTAGTGCGTGTTCCTCTACTAAGGAATGTGTTAATGGAGGAACGTTCACTAACAACCTGGACCAGAGCTAAATAACAGTCAAAGAGAGATGGTCTCTGGGACTCATATAATGATGTTTTACTGTTAACACTGCTGCTGTGATTTCCAACAGTATGCCTTGTACAATTGTATACATTGAACTGCTGTATCTTACAGCATCTTCCAGATGCCTGTAATGGTTTGTTCACAGTTTAAGGTTAAGTACAGCTTTTAGGGATTTGTGTGTGTGTGTGTGTGTGTTATTATTTAGCTGAAAAGGAGTGTTGTCACGGTAATGCAGTAAGATATATGTGTCTAGTATCTGCACAGCCACGCTCTCATCACAGGGAGATATACTCAGAACAGTGACAACACGGTAGTCAGCCTAGCTGATATCAAGCTGATAACAGAAAGCCTCCGGAGTAGTCATGCACAAGGAAGTGCAGTAAAAAAGGTTACGCACTCATCAAGCACTCGAAACTCCTTGGCTGCGTCCAAAACAAACGGCACCGAATTCCTATATAGTGCAATACTTTTGACCAGATCCCTGTTGGCCCTGGTCTAAAGTAGTGCCCTGTAAAGGGAATAGGGTGCCGTTTGGGGACGTAGATCTTGTCTCATGCTTTTACCATTGTTACTACTATTCAATGACAGCTAACGTTCCAAAATGGTTGGATTTCATAATGGTATACTCTCGAGTCATGAGAAATGAATCATTGCACAATGTCACATGACATTATAAAGGGGACACAATGAGATAACATAGTCAATTCTGGGAATTGCAGGGTGCAAACTATCTCCCGAGCAGAGCAAAGTCTTTTCTCATGTCGTTTTAATAACATACCAAAAGCACATCAGACAGACATTGCCAGGGACCAGGTTCTTAAAGGCCAATTAGGCTTCATGTACAGTGACAGACGCCATCTGGGCCAGTCCATGATTCTTTACTGGTAAAATAACAGTCAGCAATAATATCAGTAATAAATAATTACATCCAATGTGCTTGTTGCGACAGAATATGTTCCTTTTAGTCTTGAGTCGGTTTATGAATGTGCCTCTGAATAGGCCTACAGCTCAATGCTTCCAGTTCGCTGAATGTAATAGTTTTGCATGGCTTAGACCTTGATTAAACTGTCAAATGATTTTAACTACATGACTTTAATAATGTGAAATTGTGGACAATCTTTACTTGAGGGTATCCTGCTTGTATCACATATGGTGGACGCTGCAGCTTTTTACACTATCCCTTTTGCAGTACCTATTTAGCTGATGAACAGACAAATAAAAGTTGACTAAAGATTTTGTGGAGGGTGTTTTTTTATTTTATTATTTTCCTCTGACCACTGATATCAGCACTGCTGGAGCTGGGGATGAATCTCATCCTATTATGTGTTGGCACATCTGGGTCCTGGGAGGCTAAAGTCAAACCAGTCGTCTAAGGGTGATTTAAATAAGAAAAAGAGGTTATAATCACATATGGTGTGAAGAGCATGGATCCTCTGAACTTAATAATAATAATAAAAATAATGTTAATAATAATAATAATAATAAATAAGATTGATAGCTGTGGAGAAATTGATGCTGTGGGTAATGATGGATTTGGAAACCAATTATGGTAAATGGCCATCACGTTTTGTTAGTGCCCCATGTGCTACACAGAGCTCTGCTGTCCTCCAGTGTTCATTATTGCTCAATGCAAGTCACTAATTAAGTTCTACAGGAAGCGATTGTGTAAAAAAAAAAAAAAAAAACTGACAACTGCGCGATGTGTAATCGAGCTCCTTCTAAGTGGTTTTAATAATTTGATGTGTTATGACATTTGAGGAGGACTATGCATGTTATTGATACTGAATGTAGTTCTCAGAATAGGCTATACGTGAATTAGCACAAATGATTCAATGAGTTGCTGAACAAAGTGTAATGACCATTGGGATTTGTGTACACACACACAACACAAAATTGCACCATGCTATGATGCCTATGTAGGCTATGTAGGTGTAAGGAATTAAGTTATACATTTCGTATTGCTGCTGATTTTAGTGATACTGCACCATAGTAGCAGCAAATAAAATGGTAGTTTTAATTTGTAATCCATCAACACTGCTCCTGCAACCTGTAGTTCAAGTTCTTGTAAAAAAATTATAGTCACTGTGCATCTACCCTAAATGTCAATAACAGAGTAAATACACCAAGTCATGTTGAAAAGATAAATGGGATTCCACTGATTAGCTAAGCTTGATTCATAGTTGTTCAATTATACACCACGCCTCAAACCCCAAATCTATTCCATGCATTAGGGTACAAATATTCAGCAGATACAAAAGTCAAAATAAATGCACCAGTACAAGTTTTTACCATGGTCTCCATCCTCTCTGATTTTACAGTAGCGGAGAAGGGAAACCCCGGTTTCTGATTGGCCAAGCGGTCGTAGTCTCCACTGCCTTGGGGTAGTCACTAGTTACTACAGCCACAACGTCCTAAACTCCGCCCATTTCTACAATGTCTCTTAAAATGTGATTTTAAACCTAACCTTAATCCTAACCTTAACCACACTGCTAACCTTATGCCTAACCCTAACCTTAAATTAAGACCAAAAAGCACATTTTTTTTTTCATTCATTTTTACGATATAGCCTTTTTGACTCTGTGGATGTGATATCTAGTGTAAACCACTGCCTTGAGTATCATCTTTTTCCAGCTTCGCATCTGCCTGTCAAAGAACGAGGCGGCCACTCGGCACTTGATGACATTTCTCATGCAATTGTTGCAGTAATATTATAAGTGGCAGGAAAAAAGGACTCTTCTTCACTCAACATAAAGCTAAGGTAAGATGTCACGTTACTTACTAGAGAAAATCAAACCTATAGCTATCGGTTTTAAAACGTTTAATTGAATACCCAAGCTAGCTAGCTAGCATTAGCTAACTAGTTAATGTGTGGCAAGACGGCAATTTGGTGATACAAAAAATTCGAAACATTGCCGCTTTTTGTGTCAGTTAGTAAATATATTTTTATTTAACTGTTTTCTCTATGTGTCGGGTAGTTAGCTAGTTGTATTTTCATAGTCTGAACGGAATTGTTGCTAGCTGAGGGAGGCTAAAGGGACACGCCTGGTATCAAATGTATGACGTAAGCTGATAACGTTAGGAAAATGATGCGCGCGCTTCAAGGGGGCAGAAGGCCCTGTTATAAGACCGATGTCCACAAGATGCAGATGCGTTTTATTTTTGCAAGATGTCTAGGCCGCGTTTTCCGTACTTGTATTTGAAACATATGTGCATCGCTTTTCAACTAGTTAAAAGTGAACCATTTGGAGTCTGTGTGTGTACTTCTATTTGTACCACCACACCTAAAGCAAGGTGCAGAAGTTGAAAATATTTAAAACATGGGGCACCGCAGCCTAGTGCAGCATCCCCAATGCAGCGTTGCGGACTGCTGCATTGACAATGAATGACTTCTGCCAGAAGGCAAATAGTTTGATGCATCTGGTGGACATGAGGCGTTCTGGATGACCAGATGGCTAACAACAATGACAAGTAACTGTGATGTGGTGAATAGGCCGTTCTCTTGTTTCTGGGGTAGGACATCCGTTTTTGGGAAAATCAGAGAAGTCCTATATCCTGTCTAAGGCGTATATTATTTTCTCAATAGAGATGGTGCAAACCAAGAGCAAGTCCTGTTGTAGCATACCTCGTTGTTCGAATTCAAGAAAAGACTGTGATCTAAAGCCTGGCACTTTGAAGTCAACCC